AAGACCTTTCTGAAACTGAAGGACCTTTTCCAGAGACATGTCTCCAGCAGACTGAACATACTGGAATCCGCCGCCTTACACTGGCCTTACTCTGAGGTCACGTCATTCGCTTCTGCAGACAGCGAGAGGCCCGCTTTGGTTTTGGAAGTGAAGAGGAACCAGCCCCTGGATTTAACTTGCACGTTTTAATCTATTTGAGATGGTTCCCGGAGATACCCATCACCAAGAGCACAGTAGTATTTGCAGGAAGCACTAGAACAGAGCAGTAGCAATACCAGGTAAAAGTCAGCCACCCCGCTTTCCAAACACACCTAGAGAGAGGCTGGCTGTCAGGCTGGCTGTTTCAGCTAGCAGGTAAGAAAACCCTAGAGACACAGACATTAGTGGCACGAGTTAAACAGTGACTGACATGCTCCTTCCGTAGCATCCTCTGCACTTCTACCACGGTAGAGTTTCCCCTTGCCAGTCCAGGAAGGAACCATTTTCTTTTTCGCCAAGACGGTCCAGAACGGAGAGAATACCTGGGATCGCCTCTTGCACCTGCATGGGAGCCTAAAGCAAGTTAAGCTTAGGTTATTGCTGGGAATATCCTACAGAAGAGAATCAAATGGGTTGAAGGAGTCCCTGGAATCAAGTGGGGTGTATTTTCCAGTTTCACAGTGTGCCTCTGCAGCACATGGAAGTGTGTCCTACACAGCGGGTTCTTGCTGAAGGGTTGGGACAACAAAAGAGTCATAATTCCATGTTTTCAGGGAGATGTCACTTACCATGTTTCCACCCATGTCTGTCTGAAGCCAGCCTGGATGCAAAGAAATACAGAGAATTCCATCCGATTTCAGGTCTGCAGCAAGACATCTGGTGATCATGTTCAGCGCGGTCTGCAAGAGCAGAAACCATCTATGGTTGTGCTGGCTTTACAAACCTTGAGCAAGACCTTAAGCCAAGCTAACTGGCACCTCCCTTCCCCCAAGCTGTCTCCTGACAAAGGAAGGGGCAGCCACAGTACCACAGTAACTTATCCAGACTTAGTCTGGGGGCTTCATTCTCAGAGGTATCCATTAGGAGAATCCTTGTGAAAGCTCTATAGCCATAAGCTTATTGCCCAAAGATGAAAATTAAGTTATGATGAAAGATAAAGTAGCATTTGAAACTCCTAAGAAGCTGTGGGGAAAATAATATTGACAGAAGGACACTGTTTTTCTGCAATAATCACTACCCAAACATTCAGGTTTTTACTTCTGAACAGGGAAAACAAGCATAGTAACAGCTTATGAGTAGGTGGTGTAGGAGAAACTGGATGTCTGATCTTGACTATAAGTACAAACTCAGTCTCTGGATGTGACAAAACCAAAACCTCTCGCTAACTAGCGTTAGCCTGTACAGGTCAGCACACCTTTTGCTGAGTTTCATGCCTGCCGTCTTGGCTGGACTGGAGAGGAACACAGCTAATGGGACACACGCTTGACGGCACCAGTTCTTCCCTGAATGCCAAGTCCCTCTGAAACGGACCGACGTCAGAGCAGAGACGGAGCGTTTGTGAGCCCGTTCCTGAGAAGCTGGCATGCCTGCTCCAGGTGTACGGTTTTCACAGATCCCATTTCCACCCACGCGAAGCACAAGAACAGTTCCTGTGTCAGCCTGTCCAAGGAAGTGCTGCACACCTACTCAGGTCACTGTCTTCAGCTCAGAGTGGTCTTTAACTCACAGGCCTGCCCTCACCCACGGAGCAGAGCCCAGGGAAGCCCACCAACCTTTGCTATCCTGTACGGGTAGACCTTGAGGAACATCTCATTTGCCTGGACGAGTTGCATGGAGGCAGCAAGGGAGGACATATTGATAATAGCAGCTCTGTGGCAGCCCATTCCTGTGCTCAGCTGGGCTGCCTTCCTCAGCAGGGGTAGAAATGCCTGCGAAAACAAGAGTTTGTTTTAATTTGGTCGGCTTGCTCTTGGCCCCTGCAAGGCCAAGGACCTCAGAGCCCAAGACCTGGACTCTCCGGTGCTGCTCTGTGAAGAATTGCAGTACAACACTATGCCACCAGCACAGAATGGTGATGGCTCCCCAGACACCTTTCTATAACAGCCAGCAGTAAGTAGCAAGGACCTTCAGTCTCTTCTGCCCACCTCCTAGCCCAGCCCGCCCACTGAAGTGACCTCCTCCCAGATGGATTTAAATAAAGAGAAAGATCTTTGATAGAAAGGATCTCTTGCTGCTCTCTAGGCATGCCGTTTGATATCAGATCTGTACCTGTGCAGCTCCAAGGTGCCAAACACTTGGGTTACGTGTCCAGCCCTACTAGTGGAAAAGCCTCTTATAGTACCATAGATTAAGCACATTCCTCCCAATTCTCACCTTGGTGACCATCAGCTGGGCAACTGTATTGGTTTCATAAATGGTGAGCATTGTTTCTGCCGTGACTTCTTCCAAGGAAGCAAGCACATTGATGCCAGCGTTGTTAATGAGGCAGTTCAGACCTTTGTCTCCCACAATTTCTTCCACTTCCTTGACCACTTTCTTGATGCTGTTTTCACAGACCACATCTGCACAGAGGAGCCAAGAACAGCCACAGTGAACAGTGAACCGTGGGGCTCAAACGCCGCCTGTCCCTACGCAACACACGCTAAACCAAAGCTCAGGCGTTAGTCTGAACGGGGACACTCAGGCAGAGCACAGCCAGGACAACGCACAGAAGTCTTTACATGATTCCCTGGTGTTACCTTCAGATGAGGGGAATTGTTCTCAGCTGCTGGAGGTCACGTACAGCTGCTGATCACCCAGAAGACCAGTTTCTTAAGATGCACTCACCTGACTTCGTTGAACATACTTCTGTATGAGCCCTTTACTCACCCAGTTGGAGGAGCTTGATATTGCTGTATTGCTTGCTGAGCTGCTGGAGTTCCTAGGAAGAAGAAATTATTTGGGTTATCCTTTTTAATATCTACATCCATGGCTATCACATAAACCAGTTTGAGATCTGCACCTCCAAAGTTGTAACTGCCATTTATTTTCAGAATTGGACTGAAGAAACCGACACTACTTTGTTTTCCAACCTGCTGAGCAGCTTCCCCGAGAGCGAGATCAGCTGCTCCAAGAAGCTGGACTCTTCACCTGCTTAGTCAAGATACCAGCACGCTCGATTGCAGAGCTCGTTCTCAGTGTGTACCCCGGTGCTCAGACTGCATTCCAAGCCAGTAATTCCCTGCTTCTGTAGGAAAAGCATCATTCCCCTGAAGCTCAGCTAGTGCTAGACATCAGCTTGGGGCAACAGCAATGCTTAAGAAAAGCCATTTGGAATTATTGCATGCAGGAAAAGCTTCCTAGCAACTTTCCCATGGAAATCCTGCTTCCCAGCCCACTCACTAGCTTCAGTTGTCCTAACTGAAGGCAAAGCACACGTGAAACCGGCTGCATACACAGCAACTGTCCCCGAGAACAATTCTCTCTCTGCTAGATAGCTAGAATGCAGCCATCTGTCTACTACCTCTTGGTATCAGAGTGACTTGGAGAAAATTAGTGCTCTACTGGTGGTGCTGCTGGACAAAGTGTGTCCAAACTGGGTTTAGTGGCCCAGCTGGAATACTCAGGTTTCTGTGCCATGTAGCCAAGTGGGAAGCGTGGCCAAGTGTAACAGACGGATTGCATACTCCCAGCCATGTTTAGGAGACTGAGCAACCCTGGACAAACATTCCAGCTCAAGGAAATCCATTTCTTTAGGAGCCCTTTGGGAATAGGGGTCAGGAGGGCTGATTTTGAAAGAGTGCTTCTTTGCCACTTGGAGACACTTAGGGACTCCATGTCCTCTGTCAAGCTATAACGCATTATGTCTTTTATCTCAGTCCATACCCTGCAGGATTCTCTCCAGGCTTGTTTAGAAAATTAGTTCTCCCACTGAGGACGATCTACAACCTCTGTTAAGGCTGTTAAGGGGAGGGGGAAGGAAGGGGAACAAGTCAGAAGTACAAAACCAGAAGACATTCCTTCCCTTCGACAGGGCTTAATGGGACGGCGTTCAACAGATTAAGGGCCCAGAACACCCTATCCTGTTTATTGATAGTCAGGCATGAAATAGTTCTGCCATGTCAAGGCCTGCAATAATTCTGTGGCTTTGGACTGTTCGCTGGACTTCAGTTTGACAGCATCACTTAGTTGATAAAGAGCTCCAGAAGTGCTCTGGCTTCTTGAGCTTGGTTCATTTATTTATAGTCTGACTGCTTTACTCTCTGACAGAAACAAGCTACTAAGTTTTGCTAAAAGCCCCGAGATGTTTTGTGTAGTGACAGCAACCAAGAGGCTTCTGCAGTGAGTAAGCAATATGTTAAGAACTCCAAACACTGTACCATTAAGCATTCTCCAGAACATAAACAGCATGAAATTAAAAGTGCTGCATGCAAATCAGGCTTACAGCTCAATGGTTTTTCCATTTAGTTAATTACTTGGTTAGCAAGTGACTCCCACTTGAGTGGTTGAAGTTTCTCAGAAGAAGCTTCCAGGCATAAAGCTAACCGAGACAGCTTTAGTCTTCAAGAATGTTACTCCACCTGATACAAACATCAGCTGAAAAATCCAGTTAGGAAACCTAAAAATTGTAGAAAAGCCTATTCTTTTCCCTACTGTGACTAGAAGGAACAGCGGAGAGGAGGACTGAGACAAGTTCACGGCAGCGCAGCCAGACCCAGCCACCGCAAGCCAGCCTGCAGCCACGCGTGCTGCTTCTCCTCCACCCCCACCCCAAGCAGCTTCGATCAAAGCGATCAAAAGCCTCCCGTGTCCAGAGAGCTCTGAAAAACCTGACTGCAACGCACGCGTGTACTGGTTATGGACTCCCCACTGAATCACAGAATGGTCGGGGTTGGAAGGGCCCTCTGTGGGTCACCCAGTCCAACCCCCTGCCCAAGCAGGGTCACCTACAGCAGGCTGTAGGAGGACCTTGTCCAGGCGGGTCTGGAGTATCTCCAGAGAAGGAGACTCCACAGCCTCCCTGGGCAGCCTG